AAGGAGAAAAGGGTGGGTGTAGAAGGTATGCAAGCATAAGCTACCAAAGAGTCCAAACTCCTAAGCTTGATAGAAGATCCTTCATCAATTGCCTCTTGACTACCAAGCCAGCATTTCCTCCCCTGTAGAGACTCTGTGTTCCAACCACACTAAATTATTCTACATTTCTCACAACACTCCTTGCTTTTCCATGCCTCCCTTTCTCTCCACCTGCCTGGGAATGTCCTTCTTCGACTCTCTGCCCGATTGACTACTAATCACGCTTTAAGACCAAGATGACATCATTTATTAGCCATGTCCCCTTTTTTCTATTCCTAAAATTACTACTACAGCTCAGGGCCTCAGAATTTTTTGGCCGGATAGCTTCCAACAACACATTCTTCAGATCTCTGGTGTTGAACCCCTTCAAATCCTTCTTCCATCCATTAGACAGAACAATTTACCTAAAACAATTTAATCATCTTATCCCCTTCTCAAATTCTTTTTTGGGGGAAAGGGGAATTTATTGGGAATTGAACCCAGAACCTATGCATGCTAGGCAAATGCTTTACCATAGAGCTATATCTCTGGCCCTTTACTTTTTTTAACACAATACCTTTATTTATTTATGGTGTTAAGAATCAAACTCCGAGCCTCATAAGTGCTAGGCGAGCACTTTACTGCTGAGCCAAACCTCAACCCATCTACCCCTTCATATTTTTTATTATGAGATAGGGACTCACTAAGTTGCCTAGACTGGCCTCAAACTTGTAATCCTACTGCCTCAGACTTCTGAGAAGCTGAGATTTCAAGGTGTGTACCACCATACCAGTGCTACTGATGTTATCTGGTGATGAGTCCTTGCTTCCCCAGTGTTGAAGAATAACACCAGAGAAGCACACTGAGGCAAGGTCAGAGTAGAAAATTAGAAGTTTATTAAGGGACAGCAGAAAAGACTTCTCCCAGAGGAAGAAGGGACCCAAGAGATGGAATCCATTGAAGGGCGAATGTGTTCCACTTTTTATAGTTTTCAGTGATGGAATGTA